TATGAGAACTCCCCTGTAGGTAACTAACTTCTTTTGCTGCTTTTGATTCCCTATTTATCTTTAACTTTGGCATTTAATTATTTATTTTATTTTTTAAAATATATATTTTATTGATTATGCCATTACAATTGTTCTATTTCTCCCCTTCATTTCCCTCCACCCTGAACACAATTCCCCTACCATCCCCCCTTTAGTTTATGTTCACGTGTCTCAAGTTCTTTAGATTCTATATTTCCCATACTATTCTTGTTTCCCCCCTATCTGTTTTCTGCCTACCGTCTATGCTACTTATTTTCTGTACCTTCTCCCCCCTTCTTCTCCCACTCCCCTGATGCTACCCCTCCATGTGATCTTCATTTCTATGGTTCTGCTCCTGATCTAGCTGTCCTCTTAGTTTGCTTTTGTTTTAGGTGTGGTTGTTAATAACTGTGAGTTTGCTGTCCTTTCACTGTTTATCTTTTTAATCTTCTTTTTCTTAGATAAGTCTCTTTAACATTTCATATAATAAGGGCTTGGTGATGATGAACTCCTTGAATTTGATCTTATCTGAGAAGCACTTTATCTGCCCTTCCACTGAGGCTCAGAGAGGTGAGAGGCACAGAGGCGTAAGGAGATGTGGAGTGGTGCAGAGAGGTGAGGTAATGTGCAGTGGGCAGTCCCACATCCACGTGTGGTGGATAAAAATCAGGAAGAGTACCTTGGAACTGAGGGATCCCAGCCCCAGATCAGACTACCCAGCCAAGTGTTCCAGCACCAGGAAGAGAAGGCCCCATAACTTCTGGCTGTAAAAACTAGTGAACTCTGAGGTGCTGAAAGAAACTGTGAGATTCTCAAGAGACTCTTCTTAAAAAACCTGCAATGGACTTAGGACTCACTCAGACCCACCCCTCTGGGATTCAGCAACAGTACAACAGCTGGAAGAGCACTGGTGGTGTATGGGGAGAAAGCGCGGAGACAGGCAAAAGGGCAACTGCCAGGAGACAGCTTCCTCCTAGGCAAAACTTCTGAGACTAAGCAGTGGCACTGTCATCTCTGTGAGCCCTCCCTCACACAGAGCAACACAGTGATGACATGGGTCCTGCTGCCCTGGTGATTACCTAAGGATCTACCCCACACATTTTACAGATATACTTTCCAACAGTAGATCACACAACTAATGAAGTCAAAGCAGCTCTACCTAATGCACAGAAACAAAAACAGCCAGGCTGCCAAAATGAGGACACAAAGAAATATGGCCCAAATAAAAGAACAGAACAAAGCCCCCCAAAGAGAACTGAACAAAATGGAGATAAACAACCTATCAGTTGCACAGTTCAAAACACTGATTATTAGGATGCTCCAGGAACTGATTGGGTACTGAAGCAGCATGAAAGAACCCAGGCAGAAAAGAAGGTTATGTTAAGTGAAATAAAGAAAAGTCTACAGGAAACCAAGAGTGCAAGGGATAAAACTGATATTCAAATCAATGATTTGGAACACAAAGAAGAAAAAAGCATGCAATCAGAAAAGAAAGAAGTAAAATAATTCAAAGTTGAAGATAGGTTAAGGGGCCTCTAGTACATTTTTAAATGTACCAACACCCAAATCATAAGGGTGCTGAAAGGAGAAGAGGAAGCACAAGAAATCAAATACTTCATTGAAAAAATAATGAATGAAAAATTCTCTAATTTGGTGAAGGAAATAGACATAGAAGTCCAGGAAGCTCAAAGAGTCTCAAACAAAATGTACCCAACAGGACCACATCAAGAGATATCATGTTTAAAATGCCAAAGGTTAAACATGAAGGAAGAATCTTAAAAGCAATAAGAGAAATGTAGATAGTTACCTACAAAAGAGTTCCCATAAGGCTGTCAGCTGATTTTTCAACAGAAACTTTGCAGGCTAGAAACTGGCAAGAAGTATTCAAAGTGATGAAAAGTAAGGCTCTACAACCTACATTACTCTATCCAACAAAGCTATCATTTAGGATTGAAGGACAGATAAAGTGCTTCCCAGACAAGGTAAAGCTAAAGGGAGTTCATCATCACCAAGCCATTATTATAAGAAATGCTAAAGGGAATTATAAAAGAAAAAGAAGAAGATCAAAATGATGAACATTAAAAAGGCAAAAAATTCACAATCCTAAGTGATGGAACCAAAATAACAAACTACATAAATTAGCAGAGAGGAATAAAATCATAGATATGGAGATCATTTGCAGTATTATCAGTTGGGAGGGCAAAGGGGGAAAACTGGGGAAAGGTTCAGGGATTAAGAAGTACAAATTGATAGGCTGAAAATAAATAGGGGGATAAGAGCAGCATAGGAATTAAAGTAGCCAAAGAACTTACATATATGATCCATGGGCATGAACTAAGAGAGAGAATTGGTTGAGGGAATGGGGTACTGGGTGAAATGGGGCAAAGGGAAAAAACTGGGAAAGCTGTAATAGCATAATCAGTAACATTTTTAGAATGGATAGGTAGATAGAAACTTTTTCACTTTGATAAAGGGAACCTATGAAAAACCTATATACTTAATGATAGAACAATGAAAGCTTTTCTCATAACAATAAGTCAAGGATGTTCACTGTAACCACTTCTATTCAGCATCAGAACATTTAATCTAGCAATTGTAATGCAGCAACAAAAATGAACAAAATAATCCATACTAAAATAAGAGGGTTAAAATGTCATTATTCAGTGACAACTGAATTCAGTGATCACTTATGAGGAAAATCTTGAGACTTCCGCCAAGATGGAGGCATAGGTGCAGATGCTGTGCTTCCTCACACAACCAAGTGTAGAGACAACTAAATAATAGCAATAGAAAACACAGCCAGAACACAGAAAATTAAACTTTTCGGAAGTCTGATAACAACAAATGCTTCAGCCTGACCAGTAAGAGGGGTGAAACCAAAAGCTGGCAGAGTGGGGTTGCACAGGAAAACTCGGTCAGGCGGACTCAGGTGCGTGGAATCCAGGTGCAGGGTTGGACCTGGTGGGCAACTCAGCAAGCAATCATGGGGAAACAGCGAGGGAGCAGGCCTACGGGTTGACTGTGGTCATGCAGTCGAGTGTGGATAGACAAGCGAGGGAGTGGGCAATTGGACGACAGCCAGCAGCCCCAGTGGCAAGCAGGTGGAGGGCGCCGCCATTTCCCTGCTCTAAACCCGCTTCCACATATAGCGTCATAATCCAGCTACCTAAGTGGCCCTGCCCCAGTGAGCAATCTAAGGCTCTGCTCTTCACCCAGCTGTGAGAAACAGCAGAGGGGGCCACCATTTCCCCGCTCTGACCCCACCTCCACATACAGCATCACAAACTAGCGACCTAGGAGTCCAAGGCTCTGCTCCTTATACTTAACGGGCGCAAACAGACCAAAAATGGCTCAAGAAGATCTCAAAGCCCCAGAGCCTTTAAATCTAAGCGATGAAGAAATAGCAAAACTCTCAGACGCACAGTTTAAAACACTGGTGATCAGGATCCTCACAGAACTGGTTGATTATAGCCACAAATTAGACAAACATATGAAGGCGAAACTAATAGAAATGAATGGAATTGCACAGGAAACCAATAGCGATGAAAAAGAAACTGGGACCCAAATCAAGGGAATGGACCAGAAGAAAGCAAATAATGCCCAAACAGAAAAGAGTGAAGAAGCAAGAATTCAAAAAATTGAGGAGAGTCTTAGGAACCTCCAGGACATCTTTAAACACTTCAACATCCGAATTATAGGGGTACCAGAAGGGGGAAAGGCACAGCCACCAGTGGAAAACTTATTTGAACAAATAATAAAAGAGAATTCCTCCAATCTGGTAAAGGCAATAGACTTCCAGGAAATCCAGGAAGCTCAGAGAGTCCCAAAGAAGTTGGACCCAAGAAGAAAGACACCAAGGCACATCATAATTATATTAGCCAAGATTAAAATAAAGGAGAGAATCCTAGAAGCAGCAAGAGCTAAGGGGACAGTCACCTACAAAGGAGTTCCCATCAGACTGTCAGCAGATTTCTCAAAAGAGACCTTACAGGCAAGAAGGGGCTGGAAAGAGGTATTCCAAGTCATGAAATCCAAAGGCCTACAACCAAGATTACTCTATCCAGCAAAACTTTCATTTAGAATGGAAGGACAGATAAAGTGCTTCTCAGATAAGATCAAATTCAAGGAGTTCATCATCACCAAGCCCTTATTATATGAAATGTTAAAGGGACTTATCTAAGAAAAAGAAGTTTAAAAAACACGAGCAGTGAAAGGACAACAAACTCACAGTTATTAACAACCATACCTAAAACAAAAGCAAACTAAGAGGACAGCTAGATAATGAGTGGAAACAGGAATGAAGATCTCAAGGAGGGTTAGCAACAGGGGAGTGGGAGGAGGAGAAGGGGGGAGAAGGTACAGAAAATAAGTAGCACAGACAGTAGATAGAAAATAGATGGGGAGCAAGAATAGTATGGGAAATATAGAATCTAAAGAACTTGAGACACATGGTCATAAACTAAAGGGGGGTAGGGTGGAGGGGAATGAAGAGGGGGAATAGAACAACTGTAACAGCATAATCAATAAAAAAATAAATTAAAAAAAGAAAATCTTAAACTATAAAAATGAGTAGAAGTAGGAGGTTTTACAAGGCTTCATGACATAATGTCAAAAAACAAAACGTTCAATTATATTTATGTATACTAGACATAAATAATTTTAAATTAAACAAACTACACTATGTAAAACAGTATCAAAAATTTAAATACTTAAGAATAAATCTCAAAAATTACATGTAAGACCTGTTCACTGAAAACTGTGTAACATCTGAAGAAATTTTACTGGGATTTACATAGATAGACATACTGTTTTCATAATTTACTCTTCCCCTGGAATAAATACATTCATTACTTAAAAATTACATTAAAGATTCCATGGCAAAAAAGTCAATATGTGATGCCTCAAACTTCCTGAATCTAAAATATCGAAGATGCAACCCAAATGCTACACCATTGTTAGTGAAAAGGCCTTAACCTCATCACCTAAGAGATCTTTCTGTAAATAACTAAGTTTTTGCATACTCTCTTCATTGCTGCCTTCATCTCTTTATTCCTAAATGTGTAGATGACTGGATTTAAAAAAGGAGTGAGCACAGCATCAAAGAGTGCAAGAAACTTGTCCATCTGTGAATTGGGGTTTGGCCATGTATAGACAAACATGGTTGGGCCAAAGAACAAAAGGACCACAGTGATGTGAGCTGACAAAGTGGAGAGAGCCTTGGATGAACCACCTGAGGAGTGTTTCCAAACAGTAAACATGATGAAGACATAGGAGATGAGGAGTATTAAGAAGGAACCAACACAGATAAACCCACTGTTGGCAGTGACCATGAACTGCAACCTGTAGGTATCTGTACAGGCTAATCTCAGGAGCCGAGGAAGGTCACAGTAAAAGCTATCCAATACATTAGGACCACAGAAAGGCAAATTCACAAGAAATGCTAGTTGGAACAGTGAATGAGTGATGCCAAGGGCCCAAGCAGCAGCTGTAAACAAAATGCACACTCTCCTGCTCATGATGGTCAGGTAGTGGAGAGGCTTGCATATGGCCACATATCTGTCAAAGGCCATGGCCATGAGCAGCACCATCTCTACCCCACCAACGACGTGGATGAAGAAGATCTGAGCAATGCAGCCTCCAAAAGAGATAACTTTATGCTTCCTGTAAAGGTCGTAAATCATCTTCGGTGAGACCACAGAGCAGGCTCCAAGGTCAATGAAGGAGAGGTTGGCTAAGAAAAAGTACATGGGAGAGTGTAAGTGAGGATCAATGGTCACAGAAAACACAATGAGGAAGTTTCCAGTCATGCTTGTCACATAGAGCACAGAGGAAAACACCAGGAGGACAAGTTGGATCTCCCATGAATGGATGAGTCCCAGAAACACAAACTCAGACACAACTGAGTGATTTCCTCCATCCATTGATCCATCCAGCTGGGCTGTGGCTGCAGTTATGAGAACTAAGGAAATGAAGAGGAAATTGTGATTACAGAGATGCCAAGAAATCAAAGAATTTCAATGTTCTTATTACAAATAAAAAGTATATACTTATACAGTTTCCTAAATATACAAAAACAAAACACAAATCAACATAATATTACAACATATTTTAAACATATCACCAAAACTCTCATTGCAATGTTCAGTTCTCAAATTCATGAGTGTACATGATATTCATCACCTGTTTAAATCACTTCTAATATTGACTATTCCTCATTTTCAACAGATTCCATCTTGCTTTTACGTACGTTCTCATAATCCATTTTGTTTTTCCATTTTGCTCTCACAACTCACAGAAAGCAGTGATAATAGGAAAATATGATTAACTGGTGGGCTATATAACATGGAGTGAATAGTTCTTAACATGAGTAGAGACTGAATTAGGACAGGCTGAAGCTTGAAAATGAACAAAGGGATTGGTGTATGTAAAATTGGAGGTCCCCTAAATATAGTAGAACAAGAGAATTATGTGGACTCTAATAAAAAAATTAACCAGCACTATTTTCATCACACTTTATCATGTGTACTTCCATACTGGGTACCTCTAATTCCCATACAATTTTTGATAAGTACAAAGTCATAAGCTGGCTTCAACGCTATGCAAGGATTTCATAAGGAATCTGTGCCTCCTAGTGATACAAGATTTTCTCCAGGCCTAATAAATAGGTATTTGTAACATTTCTGCAGAATTTAGCTAAGGCCCATTCCTAACATAGCCACTAAAAATATGAACCTGCTCTGAAAACACATTTCTTCAGTCCATATACATTTTAAACACCAGCACTTGGAACATTTGAGATATTAAATTTTAATTCATTGGTGTCTTAGCCTACCTTTGGTGACATCTTTTATGTCCACTGCCATCCCCCTACCCATTAAAGTACTGAGTGCTGCCAGCACGGTCACCCATTCTAAAATTGCATATTACCTTGCTTGCTTTGAAATATATTCAGATATTTTATGTTCAAGGAAATTTGTATTTTATGCTTTTGATCTATGACTATAAAAATAAGAGGAATATCAATCATTAATAAGAAATACTTTATTAGGGCACAAAGCTTCCTCCATGATCTTAACCCATAGAACACAAAATGTAACACTGGAGATTTAGTCCTTTAATGTATGTTGTATTTATGTGTGACATGGAGGGTGAGCAGAGAACAGTGTTATGTTTCTTCATTTCCAATACCCACCTCAATCCTTCCTGATAGTGGAGAGTAGGTCCTGAGAACACTCAATACAAGTTAATCATTTTAGGAGTTGATGAAATACAGTAGAACAGGAATATTGACATACTTCATTTTTCAGCTAAAACTCCAGACCTACTCACACAAACAGCTCTATGGCTGATGCCCTCACTTATCCCAGATCATAAAACTCACAGAGGATGTTGTGCCTTGATCCCAATTCTGGATCACCATCACTAACACAAATGCCACTATATTCTCACTTACACATGGTAATTATACTGCCACCTCCTGAGCCGATAGTCCACAATCTCAAGATGCACACTTTCTATTATCAGAAACCTGGAGTTTCAAGTGGGGGATGGGGACAGGGGACAACCACATATGCTGCTCATCAGGGCAGGACAGGACTGATGGGAAGAGTATGCATGGAGAGGAGGTGATGGAGACACTGGGGAGGGACCCAGGAAACTCAGTAGCTGTTGAAAAAGATCCAAGGCCTTAGTCAGGAATAGCACATGTCCACATTGTGTTGAGAAGAAAATTCTCATGGAATTATATAAAACTCATTTTTCACTTGGTCATCAATCAGATAGAAAACAGGAGACCCAGAAAAATAAACTGAGTTTTCCAGATTCACACATTTGTCAGAATTGGGCACCAAAAGTTAAATCCCTTGATTTTATTCCAAAAAGACAAATACTGGAGAAAATAATTAAGTATAAAAACTGAGAACAGTCATGTTTTTCCTGGTTAAAACAAAAACTAGTGCCATTCACAGTGTCCATTATTAATACTAAATTATATAACAAGCTAACAACAAGTAAACATAACGTGTGACGAGTTAAAGATCATTTGACAAGTACAATAAATAGTTCATTGTATTTGGGAAAGTGAATACTTTTCCTGCTACTATTATCTGTGTAAAGATTCTTATTTTGCTGGTTGTGTAACTGGTTTCTACAACTGTGAAAAACTCAAGGTGTTACTGCTAAGAGCCCATTCTCTTGGTTTTGATTAATTTTATTATCCTAAAAGTTCAATTAAAATCCCCATTACTTCTTGTAGCTTTTATTGAAAAAAATTTTTATACTTATTTGTTCTTTTGCTAACTCCTGCAAGTCAAAGAACAAGAAAACAGTTGAAAATACAAGAATTGCACACATACCAAATACAATCTAATGTGGTATACCATACAAGTAAAGTGAATAGGAAGATGAATATTTGGTAAGGATTTTTGGAGAGTTGGGGATAGAAGGTGATTCATGTAAGCAACAGCACGTAGTGAAGGTTACACCTTCACTTCAGGACATAAATATTGATGCAGCTCTTTAGGTAATAGAACTAAACAGGAAAAAGAAGGAAGATACAAGCAATGTGAGGAAAATACCTTGAATTATGTAAGATGAAATTTCCCATTAAAATTAACTGTCATTATTCATATGTGTGTAGCCCATATTATACACTGAGGTACCTATAGAAAGTCAGTAGATTGTTCTTGATTGAGAGGTTATATTAATAGCCCCAGCCTATAGTGAGGCCAAGCCTTCAGGTCAGTGATCTCTATTATTCTTGATTCTGTTCTCTCTCAGTCACCTTTTCCAAAAGTTTTAAAAGTCATAAGGAAAAATTCCTCATTTAAAAATTTATAGAATCCATGACTCTCAGTGACAGAGAATCCATCTCTCAGTGAGAAGCCACCTAAAGCTTCACAACAGATTGCTTGCTGGGGATTAGATAGCATTTCAACTCCAAACCTACAACCAGCACTCAACTCATTTTCCTAAAGTCTGTGGAATAATCTGGTATGCAGAAAAATAAAACAGAAAGGATTAAAATGAAGATTTAAAATATGGAGAAGATGGGGAAAGGAGAAATTAAGAAAGATAGGTACAATATAAAAAATCAGTTCAGGAGAAAAGGGAAAGATCTGAATACTGTTCAAGTGATGAAATACAGTAGCCTCTGTTTCTGAGGACCCAGGTAAGTTCAAGAGAACATCAATCTCTCACCTGTAATTCACTGATTCAGCACTGCTCCTGTCTATGACGTTGAGTTGCTGCTCAAGCTAGTTAATGAACTTGGCAAAACAGCAGGTTACAAAGTCAATATCCAGAAATCAAAGGCATTTTTGTATACCAACAATGAATCAGCAGAAGCAGAAATCAAGGAAAAAATCCCATTTGATATAGAAAAACAAAAATAAAATATCTGGGAATAAACCTAAGGAGGTAAAATACTTGTATGCAGAAAACTACACAGCCCTGAAGAAAGAAATCAAGGAAGACACAAACAAATGGAAACATATACCTTGTTCATGGATTGGAAGAATTAATATCATCAAAATGTCCATACTACCCAAAGCAATATACGAATTCAATGCAATACCTATTAAAGTACCAATGGCATATTTCACAGACATAGAACAAACGCTTCAAAAATTTATATGGAACCATAAACCACCCTGAATAGCAGCTACAATTTCTGTCCACAGAAAAACCACATAGATGTTTATAACAGCTTTATTCATAACTGCCAAAACTTGGAAGCACACAAAATGTTCTTTATTAGGTGAGTGGATAAATTAACTGGCATATCCAGACAATGAAATAATTTAGCGCTAAAAAGAAATGAGCTATCAAGCCATGAAAAGACCTGAAGGAAATGAATGCATGTTACTAAATGAAAGAAGCCAATGTGAAAAGATACATACTATATGATTGATTTCAATTATATGATGTTTAGGAAAAGGCAAAACTGTGGGGAAGATTAAAAGATTAGTGGTTGCCAGGGCATTAGAGGATAGGGAGGGATGAACAAAGAGATCATGAAAGATTTGTAAGGGAGTGAAATTATTCCATATGATGCTGCAGTGATGGGTATAAGTCATTATAATTTGTCCAAATCTATAAGATGTACAACACCAAGGTGATAATGACATGTCAGTGAAGGTTCATCAGTGTACTGCTCTGGAGAAGGGTGTTCCTAGAACAGCATGATGTGTGTGTGTGAAAACAAGGGTATAGGAGAAATTTCTGTACCTTCTGTTCAATTCTACTGTGAACTAGTGACTGCTCTAAAGAATAAAGTTCATTAATTAAAATTTAAAAATAATAAAGGAGGAAAATAAAGGAGAAAGGGAAGAAACAGCAATTTCATGACTGAAGAAAGTGAGATGACAAAGGGGAAGAAATAGAAGTTGAGACAGCAATTCCCATAATTTTTCCACCTTGTAAATGGGAAGTGTGGACATGGTTATCATGGACACACAATATAGCTAATATCAAATGCATTAATTAATAAGTGAGTACTAAAATAAATGAGTAATATAATAAATGTAATTGACCTGTCAAAGAATGAAACGATGGAAATTTCCCATTAGAGGGTGCATGACAGTTTTCAGAGACACTACATGCCACTCTGCTGTAACACACCAACAATGCTCAACAGCTTCCAATCAGTCAAAAAGAGCTGCAACCATTAGGATGACGAGGGCTGAAAAGTGGAATGAAAGCTGAGGCTGAAGGTTACAAAATGATGAAAGGTTTCTAGGCATTGGATAGACCTACCAACTGGCAAGACTGACCATAAACCCCAGGCCAGAGAAGAGGGCACATGAAACAAACAAACAAACAAACAAACAAATTAAACAAGAGGTCAAACACTTGGGAAACTTGGTGAGAAAGATAGTCAGAGCCTAAATTCTAAGTCTTCCCTGTTATCCTTCAAGTTTTA